TCGAGTGTTTTTTATTTTCCGATTATTTTATTTTAGAATTCGTGATATTTTTAGTAATTTCTGGTTTTCATTTTATGTAGTTCCTAACACATAAGCGGTTCCATGTCGCATTAACATTTCAACCAACAGACTTTACAACTTTTTTTTTTTAATTGTTACAGAAAAATCAGCTTTTGCAATCCAATGGAGTACCAATCACAATAGCATCAGAAGTGTGGCAGCATGGTAACCCGCATACCGATGCATCGGACATATATGTTGGTGTTCGCGTCGTTAAGGATCCAGAGAGTAAATATCAGGGAATGTTCAATCGTACACCAGACTTGAGAACACATGGTGTTGTTTGTGAAATATAAAACCAATTCAAAACGTGTCAGAACTTCGTTGACGGATTGAATAATATAAACGACAAAAAGATAAATTCTTACTTTTGACTGATAATATTCATTTTCCAACATTAACCGTATAAACCAATGCCGTAAATTGGTCGCCATTTCTATTGAGGTCTATTGCTCAGAATTTTTTTTATAGCTGTTTCACCCCATGTGATTTCTGTATATAACCGAACATGATAATAAATATTGATTCGATCCTTTGTGGGTTTTCTTTGTTATTCACTACGTTTACATGTACACGATAATCGTTTCGGCAAAAAACGTTCCCAAATCGTATTTCGGACAATCGAACGCCATAATTTGTCTCGAGTTTACATGGACACCATTGAATTTCGATCCGGTTAAAAATATCCCGCGCGTTCAGACTATCGTATTTGACATGAGATTTCGTTACCAGTTTTACGTTTTACTCCTTCTTTTGAATTCCTCGAAACAAACCGGATACAACTTTATAATTTTTATATATGTAAACATTTAACCAAGATATTGAAGGTTTTAAGTAGTCATCTTCATAACTTTAAATTAGGCTTGCACGTAATTGACAAAAATCAATTCCGTAATTACGGCCAAATCGATTACGTAATGACCCCGTAATTGCGATATTTTTTTCACACTTTTAAACCTATCATAACAACCAATTTAATCCACTTCTATTCCGAATGGGACATCGACAGTTGGGACAGTTTGGTTTTCATATTTCCGCCAGTACTACACGCCGGCGACATATGCTAAAGACAAATATCAAGGAGTGAATTCAAATTAATTTTATTCTGATTTTTATCTTTTGTGTTAGCTTTGATTTTCCTTTATCAACTTTATCACCCAATTTTATGCGATCAATTTTATCATTACCAACACTGGTATGTGGTAATATATTTATGAAACGATAGTTGACTTTTTTAAAATCGTATTAACGTATTAATACGAGTTTCGTATTGAATAAAAATTCCGGGTTTCTAATTTATAAATCAACGACGAGCGTATTCTCTCGTTTGATTATACTTGCGCTTGCCTCACGACGAAGACTTGTTATTGCACCGTTTTTTTACATTATCCGACTTTACTACCTAGTTAGCATTTTATAATAATTATTGATGCCGACTTATTGACGATATTCCGATTACCATGCTTCATTTTACATTAAATCATTTCGCGGCCTAAATGTTATAACATTATTTGTGATAAATTTAGATTAAATATTAATTATTTGCGCATTATTTAAATACCGTACTTATGTGACATGCCTTCTCCGAAAATACAAAGTTATATCGCAAAACAATGCATTTGGTGACATTTATTTTGCACTCACGAAAATATTAATTTACTTTTCTAACTCAAGTCGACAATCCTATTGGCTAAGATTGACCCAAGTTTGGTCGAGTGCCGGTGGTATTTGAGTCGACGATAAATCAAAATAAGTTGCCGCATTTGGTAAAGACTTAAAGATATTGTAAAGACATATTTGGCCGAAATAGTGCGAGGCATTGTGAAAACAAGGCCAAGTACGGACAGATATATAACGATAAAACCGGTAACAGAACATCAAGATTTTGTAATAGAAAATGGATCTCGCGCAGAATAAACATGGGAAATCCCGTCTTTTTGTTGTTTCTCTGCCGTCTGAATCGCTTTACCGATGCCGGAAAGACTAAGTTGCGTTGGTTCATTACGCAAGTTCTCTTCCGTCGTCATATTGCTGTTTGATAAGCGCGACATTAATTATCACGGCATTACAAATAGACCATGTTTGGTAAGTTGATCTCTTACATTCTTTAGTCATTTCACCCGAAGAAGTGGAAACCAGGTGTGTTGGCGTCCATCGGTCTCAACACAATTCTATCCCATATCTACGCTTAATATGTACATTTGCCATGCTAGATAAGTTGATAATAGGTTAGTAAATGGCAACGCGTTATGCCTTCTCCATCTGCATAACAAGAGAGAGACAAACGGTTGCGAATACCGGAACTCTAACTTCTACTTATTAAACTTTAATTTTTTACAATCGACGGAATTGACTGTTCTAAAGAGAGTTCGTTTCAATCGCGAAAGCGCTCCACCAATAATTACGAATTTACGTAATTCGTAACTTCGCTTCCGTAACTCGAAATAATTCCGTAATTCCGTAAATCCGTAAATTACGTGCAAGCCTACTTTAAATGCTATTTTTTAAGAAAAACATAAAAACGTTATATTTTATTTTGGTAAGTTGTTAATGTTCTTAATCTGGCATACCACTTCAGGTATCTACTTCTGCACCACGTTCCTTGAAACACCGGTAACTGCTTACAGCATAGGGCGTTGAATTTGTATTTAAAATTCTATGCAGACATTCATTGAAAAGCAATTGTTACGGTAACGTTTCTGCACTTCATAGTTAATAATTATACAAGAAAGTACTGTAAATGGTTATTTGCTACTGAATGGAACAAAAAAGAAGAACATGGATTTGTCTCAGGTGAAGGATTTAAAATATTTATTTTTTGATGTTTATGATATTTATTCAAAATACCAAAAGGATACTTGATGTTTTTATGATTTCGCTACTGCATATACCGTGTATTCTATAACAGTATAAGGCATTTTCGTGGTGGACGAATCATCATCCATAAGATCTTGCCATGGAGGTGATATGTTTGCTCACAGCAGCAGGAGATATTGACCATCATCATATTGTTATTTCCAGGTTCTGCCCACTTTGATTACGATTCGAATGATGCAATTAATAATGCTGTTTCTGATGAATGAAAGATTTAAGCTATGTCAGGTTATGCTGAGGCGTAGCCGGCTCAATTTTTTGAAAAAAGTTTATTGTATTTGTACACCTACGAAGAAAAGACGTCGAAAGCGAAGATTTTGGAAAAAGACACGAACTTCAGAATGGTGGGATAGAATCGTAAATCAGCATTTTGGCAATGAAGATTGGATAGAAAATTTCCGGGTAAATTTACAGATTTACCTCTTTTAAGACTTTTTAAGGAAATTTTATATGTACTTAATTTTATCAAATCCAAGTTATAAATGAACTGATGTGAATTTTTTAAAATAAGAAAATTTTGTTTTTAAGGTATCCTGGAGTACATTTCAATACATTGTGGAACAAGTCAGACCCTATATGTCACCAAAACAGAACTGGGTTAGACCGCCTTTGCCAGTGGAAAAAAGGGTTGCTGTGGCTTTATACAAACTCGCTAGTTGCTGTGAATACAGGGTGGTTGCAAATATATTCGGGATTGCAAAATGCACAGTGCATGCCTGTGTTTATCAATTTTGCAGGTAGTTCTTGGCTTTCAATATTTAGCAAGTCATTGGTTATGTAACTACTCATTTTTAAAATTTTCATGCCAGGGTTTTCACCGATTATATTGCAAAACAACATATCGCCTTTCCATCAGATATTGAAGCTATTGAAATCAGTGAACGAATTTTCAAAGTCCACAGTTTTCCGCATGTATATGGGGCGATTGATGGAACTCACATTCCTATTTTACCGCCAAAGACAGGTTATAGAGATTTTACCAATCGCAAAGGATGGCCATCTATAATATTACAGGCTGTTGTAGATGATAGATGCATGTAAGTAAGAGAGATATAGAGTTAAGTGAGGTATTCTTTACAGAAAGCAGACTTAATATGAAAAACACCCAAGCAGCTAAAAATCCTGATGATTAGTTGTAATGTCAGTTTCTAGAAGTTCATCGTTAGAGTATAAACTAAACTGATGCAAATGCATATTTAATTATTTAAAGTTATTTTCAATCAGATTCAGAGATATATCTTGTTCAATGCCAGGAAGTGTGCATGATGCAACAGTACTGAAAAATTCTTCGCTGTACAAGCTTGCTGTGGCAGGAAGTCTTCCTTCGGTAACAAGCACGTTGTATTCATTTCAAAAGGGTCACAACAGTAGTTATAATATTTTTTTACAGACCATAAAGCGAATTCAAAATTGTGACGTCCCGCTGATGATACTAGGCGATCCAGCATACCCTTTGCAAACATGGCTCATGAAAGGTTACTCTGGAAGTTTAAATCCATCTGAAGAGTCTTTTAATGTGTATCTTTCATCTGCACGCAATGTGGTGGAACATGCATTTGGACGACTCAAAAGCAGGTAAAGACCTATTACAACTAATTCAATGAAAGGACAAGCACTATTGAAAGGAAATCTATTAATTAATATTATATTCAGATGGAGATGTCTATCTAAAAGATGCGACATTAGCTACAAGTTTATGCCAAAGGTTGTCGCAACATGCTGTGTGCTGCACAATATATGTGAGAAAAGGAAAGATGTATTTCTAGGAAGATGGTCAAATGAAACTTATGTTGCCCAACCACAGCCGGAACGTAGATCAGCGGCCAGCAATTGCAGTGAAGCAGTACAAAATAGGGAGGCATTGAGAATCTTTTTGGAGGAAAATTTTCCTTTGAGAAAAAGTTCATTGTAGTTACTTCCCTATTTGATTCTCAATGAGACTAACAATATTACTTTTTTGAACATTTTTTCACCTGTCAGTTGCAATTAATTCAGCAGGATTTGTTCACTAATCTTAACGAACTTGCCTTTTACTTTAGATGACTCTGCACATAAGTGGAACATTGTTTTGGTTTTTATATTTATTGTAGCATGCACCAATTTCAATTTGTCATTTTGAGAATAAACGCATTTTCGACACTTGAGTATGGTTGTTGTGGCCCAGTAAACTTGAGATTCATTTGTTGGTGTCTTAAAAGAAATTTTAAACAGATAAAAAAGTCTTCGGATTATGTGCGCTCTTTGAAGCAGGAGTGTGTGCAATAGAAACATAAAAGAATAGGATTTCCATAACCATATATACAATGGCGATCGTATATGTTCAGTACAATAATAGTTAACACTCGAGTTCAGGCCCCATGATTCAAAACCAGCTAACTCTCATATAGTCAAGGGGTGCGGTATCGACAAGACGAACTTGAAATTCATGCATGTACAAAACTTATGTGCATTTACCTTGAGTTTTCGAAAGCTGTGAAACGCATGCAGAAAATACCGATCCCATCTCTTGCACAGCCTCTCGTAATAATTTGGCATGAGCTTCCATTTGTTCACGCATCATATTTTCTTCCCATATTCGTTGCTTTTCGAAAAGACTTTCCAAGTCAACAGAATGTCTTTTTCCTGCATAGTGGCATAAGAGAGTTAAGTTTTCCCAGCTAGATAAGGCCCAGTTCTTTATCAAAGTTTTACAGATACATGATTGAGTAAGACTTAGTCATTTGGGACCTTTTATACATATTTAAGTATATATATATGTTCATACATACCAGAATCTGAATTCTCGCCATAATTAGATGAAATGTCGGTACTGGAAGTTGCCCCTTCTTCAGCACCTGAGCATGACGTTGCCCCTTCTTCACCACCTGAGCATGAAGTTGCCCCTTCTTCAGCACCTAAGCAAAACAATTCAATTAACATTATGTGCATGAAAGAGCATGGTAGATATTAATCTAATTTCTATGTTTATCCACAGACAGAGAAAAGCCAATAAGACGGCGTAATCATATGGCTGGATGTCAGCGAATGAGAGACCAGTTGATTAATGCGACTATCCTTAGCAGTCAAATATTGAGACAGGTCCACTTTTGGCTAACATGTAGAAATATACGAGTTTATTTCATAGCATTTTAGACTGAACTACTCCAGAAGACATACCTTGATCTTCTGGTGTGCTAAAAAGCATTTCATTCTGTGATTCCTCGATTTCTGAAATAAAAATCATCAGCATGATAGTATGCACATAAATTAGGAAAAAATGTAGAATTCAACTGCATAAATCAAAAATAATAAAGAAAAGTAGTTACCTAGTGACACCGTGTTGGTGATTCCAAAATTGACTCCCATATGGGTATAATCAACTGCTGGACGATGGCCGAAAATTTCATAGAGCTCATCGTAATACTCGCATGTTTTGTGAGCCGCCCCACTGACAGAATTCAGACGTACTATCTTGTTGAAATTGGAACGCAACGCCTTGACTTTATTACGTATTTGTTGGAAACTACAAATGGAAGAACACCTTTCTTCAATTAGCCAAATTAAAAGCTGAAAACAAACTGCTAGTCACTAGAATTGAACATACTTTGTAAATGATGATATTTTGCTAAAAAGCCAACACATTTTTCTGAAATTTGGAATCAATAGGCTGCCACTTAATAACATAACAATGGTGTTCTCAAACCTTTTTTCATATCCTTTTGCTGTCAACTGTTTCTCAACCTCTTTGTACAGAACTTCTGACCTGGACTTCTTTTGGTCAAGCAGACCAACCAAATTCATTTCTTGGACAATGCCAAGCATTGTTTTAATCTCGCTGCCTTCCCACTTAGTTTTAAGAGTAGATGCAGGCTCCATTTTTCTCGTAAACAAAATAATACTAATTCTCTATGGTAACTTTTAACTAAATATAAATCAGTGAACTGAATACGCTACTGTGCTGAGAGTTTGATTTATATGGGCAATAAATTATATAACTCTTTGAAATAAATTTATTTTTTTACCGAGGCAGACAATTTATCCCCAATTGATTTACAACTTACTTTACTACAGTTGACAGTTACTAGTCCAGTGAGAATTACTATATTGCGATATTACATTTCAGCATTTAGTATACAATCAATACACCAACTTAACATCTTGACAATGGCTGAACTGTCGTTAGATTATTCAAAACTGCGGAATAAATCGCACATTTTCCAATGATTTGAATATTGCAAATCCTCGGTATTGTACCAAGGTTTGTTTAATTTTGCAATGTCCAGGTCTTTGTTTCATATAAATGGTAAGTCTATCCGTAGATCATATATATGCCTATTATCTACCAGCATTACAGCACTAGGTAACATTATACATTTATAAGCATATTAAATTCATAATCAGCATACAGCTGTACAGGCATACTGCTGTACTGGCATAGCAGGCAATACATTCGACTGTAAATATGCAATGAAATGATTTATAAAGACAAATAAAAATCTCTTCCTGACGTGGTACTGCACTATACTCATGGTACTTGCGGTTACTCTCAACAACCTACTGTCAGACTGTATACAGTAATTTGCCTAATTACATTATAAGGTGTATTGTGTACTAAACTGAAAGTCCTTTCTCTTTGTTCAGTTGTTTACTTTCTATTGCATACCGTACCAGTATCTGTAATGCTTGATTGCGATAGTATTATAAAGATAAATATGAATAACATAATCATGTTATTCATATTTACATTATACGGTCAACTTCCACACTTACCCTGGTACCAGTACTAGAATTCGGCAATTCGCGCACGACACAGTACCGGTAACAAACTGTTGTTCCCTTTGACTTCGACGGATCCAAGACTAACAATTCTGATGGTGGAGAATTTCATCCAGAATCGAAAATTACTTTTAAAAAAGCCAAAACTTTCTGCCAACGGAAGCGCTGTGGCAGTACCGGTACCGGTATCACACATTTCACGCAGAGCAAGCGAGCAACACTATAGACCTAAACTACACTTGCAAAACCTGTTCGCGCGTGCGAGGAAAGCATCGTGTCAGCTCTAATCTACCCTGTGCAATCGTGTTGGGATATCACGATGCAAACACGCTGAGTCATGATTGGCCATCGAACCAAAGTGTTTACATGAACACGATTCGCTCAAAATACGGTTTTGGCACGATAATCGTCGCCATGTAAACGTAGTGATTGTTTTGTTAGTTTATAGGAATCAAATAGAAAAATAAATTAATCATAAAAAAAGGCCCGTGCGTGAACATGACCACGCCTACATTATCTATAGTTGTATTGGGTTACTGCAAGTATATAAGTGAGAATCTCTAAAACAAACTTAGTCCAGTATAATTGTAGTAGTAGTCCAATAGTTTGGGGTATGGTAATCTAAATCACATGAAGGATATGTCAGTTTTGTGGTTCATGCTGAGGTGTTACGCAAATGCTTAGATGTAGGGTCGGAAGTTTTGGGGTAAAGGCTTCGTTTGGTGCAAGGCGTGGGAGAGAGAGGTGGTGACATAGGGACGGAGTTTTGCAGTTGGTGGTGATATATGGATTACAGAAAATGTTCTATTTATCTCTGAGATGCGTTCTACAATTAACTGTCTAACGAGTTTAATAACGATATTTAACGATGCTACGAGTCTTACAGCAGTACAGTCTTATCTTATTCAATTCTTTCGGCACAGACTCGCAGTCGTATAACCGCCGTGTATAACCGTTAACTCACTTCTGCACTCACTGAAACCTGGATACCCCAAGAAACTGTCCACACAATGTTTTGATGTTACTTCCAAATCGTGTTCAAAAATGACAGAATGAAATAGATGTTATGAAGCGTTCCAAAATAGTGTCTCAATAAACTGATGAAGTGTTTCAATATAAAGTTTCAATAAATTGAAAAAGTGTGTAAACTGCAATTAAAATAAGAGTAAAACTTATAAGCAAAACACAATAGTGATAACCTAAAAAATACCAGAGACATTGGCAAAATACAGTATAGGCTACCGGTACTTGATCACATGGTAAAGAAGGCATGAATAACTTAATAATATGAATAATAAAGAGCAGACAATAACTTGTCCACAGTGTTTTACTTATTCTATACTAATATGAATTTGCAATGAAAATCATATAATAAGCAAGTAGGAACACTCAGCAAATGAATTCTTAAATACAGAAATATCTTCACATGAAATATGACCTACCGATTTTTCGGCTAATAATATCACAAACAAGCCGGTACTTCAATATTTAACATTTAAACAATCTTAACTGTATGGAAAAAGAATAAGATATTAGACCAAATTAGAGAAGCACAGACCCTGTCAGCCTGTTCAACAAAATCCTGAAAATGGCACAAACCACGGGATAAACTAGCGCAACAATCTATTCTAAAGTACCACAATGAGACGACAAAGGCTATAAATAAAATGACGGCTAAGCTATCATTTACATAGTCCTTTTGTCTGGATTAGGAGAACATACGTTCTGCAAATTTATTTTATTAATTAGCGATTTATAAATACGAGTATATATTACCTTTTTTAATATATGTTTTGGAGAATGTACTTGGTTCAGAAATTAAACTTTTACTTGAATCTAGTTTTCAACACCGTGCGGATTTAAGTCATCAAATAAAGTTCTATGCATAATCGATTTTTAACAAATATTTTTGTTTTTTCCTATTCTGATGAAATAAAACCAAAAACTTGAAGTTTGTAACTAATAATAGAATAAGTATTTGTCAAAATTCAACAATTCATTACTTATTCGATTATTCTTTATTTCGTTTCACATGTTAGGAAAAAAAATCCCGCCTCCTTACTGAGGTATGAATGTTATATCGAGTCTATGAACTGTCTGTACACACAGTACATAAGGCCTCTCTCTTTTAAAAAAGTTATCTAATTCACGTTTACGGAGTCGCACATCATTTGCGTATAAGGACACTATCTTCAACTTCGCCATAGACTACATATGGGCGGTAAAAGGTGTATACTACTAATTATGGTAAACACAAATGGTCTCATGAGTTCTATTACTTGTCACATAGTTTTTAGAATTTACGTCGGCGGAAGGCTCAAAGACGATACATGAAAATATTTCTCTCACTTACGTATGTTTTCTTTCTTTATTTTTCCCATTCGATTTTTTTCTCCATAGTGGCCGAAAAAGATGATTCTGACGAAATTGTTTCTCTGATTCTTTTGTTAGTATAGTCCGAATTTTCCAGATGTGAGTCATTCAGATTAAATATGCTTGGTATATGGAATGTTTTTCTCCAAACATGCTGGTGCCGAGTATGCTAGTATTTTCTCAGGTGTGTCACTGAAGAGCGATGTTGTTGGTTCGCTAGCTTCAAAGTTATGCTCCATAACCTTCGCATACCTTAACATAACCTTCCCTTTTTGGTGGCGAGTGAGACGACGGGTTGTCAATGGTTGATTCTTGTTTCAGCTTTATATTCGATGCTTGTTGTTTTTGGGGTTGATTGTGGTTTCTAGGTTGTGCATCATTTAACGATCTCCCAAGTTGTGCGTCGTTTGGTGGTGTTATGGGTTTATTATGTTCTCGGCAAATTCACATTCAGACCAATCACTGATCTATCGCAATTCCGAAACCGAAGAGGAAAATTCGCAGACTGAAGATTTATCCTTGTCATTAATTGGTTGATTATGTGTTGTTGTTTTCTAGAGGTGTCAGCCTGAGTTAATTGGGTGCTATCCTGTTGGGTTCAATTATTTTTTCAGCCTGATTTTATATGTTGTTCACGTTGTTTTCCTTGATTTTACGAGTTGGCTGAGTATTATTTTCCATCTGTGATTTTCTTGGTTTTGGAACAGACCATGTTTTCGTCGGGTCGGGATTGACGGAAAATTCTTGGCTCTGGCTTGGCACCCCTTTTGTAGAAGCCCGGATTGTTTACAATAACTACATACTGATGTGTTATTGCAATACATGAAAGTAAGCCCAGATTTTGGACATCTTCCACATGTCGGCACATACATTTCTTGCGAGACATAGGTTTTACATTCGATTCCATCGATGACATCATGGTCGGGCAGAGTAGACGACCTTCCCTAATGTTTTCAATGAGAATAGGGATAAATTAATTATACACGTCAGTGCCAGTTTTTAATAGCACTTCTTAAGCTGATCAATACAGCTTTGGCATACTGGACACCAACAACATTAGTAGTAGTAGTTTTATTTACAAACATGAGAGTTTTTTGTGCCAAAAGCTAGACAAGCATTAACTTGTTTTACTGTTGTATCATTTCAACCAATACAATATATGGAGATTTGTTTCCGACTTACCATTTCTGTCAGACTTTTGGAAAACTATAAATAAAAAAAACTTTCATCTGGCTGGACAACACAGCAACGCGAGAAAATTTCGCTGTCAATGATTTGCGATGATAGTAATGCTATGTGTAGGTCCAAAAATAAACTGGATATAAATTAAATATAAATTTTTAAAACATATTGAAATGTTAAAAATGAAATTATATATATATATATATAGTAATTACAGGGTTGCCTAACCTTCTTGCTGAACTAGTCGCGTTATTTGACGCTCATATTTTGACGTATAGAACGTAAAAAAGAACAGTATGGCTTATACGTTTCATCAAAACTTCTTGTGGCATCATTTCCGCTAGTCTTCTGATTCTGGGTTAGTGTAAGACATGTTTATGTTTTGAGATTTATACATACAGTACTTACCAGTGGCGGCGCGTCAATAGGGCCAACCGGGGCAATGCCCCGGTTGTTTTTTCGGTATAATAAAAAATATTCGAAAAATACCTCAATACCGGTTGCACAGACTGTCTACACTAGCCATATTCTCCCGACATGATTCATTTTTCGCTCGCAAAGCCTTCGCCGAACGTCGACGGGGCGACGCCGATTTTGCCCCGGTTGCTCATTGTATATCGTATTCTCTCTTTTATCTTCCACTCGCCGCGTTTGTCTCGTTTGTTTTCTGTTTCTTTTACTAAATCAACGGGGCCGATCGGGGCTAGCCCCGAAATTATGACGACACAATGCCGACGTTTCTTACAACAACGTGTTGACATATTCATGCATTCCTTCTCGTTCGTTGGTTGCTTGAAGAGTCGATAGTTTCCTCGCCTTCGTTTTTGTTGCTTGTTTCGCTATTTGAATCAGTTAGAAACCTTTAGTCCATTTGCTTTCGATTTTCCACTATCCTTTTGAGCTCCTCACTTCTTTCCGGCTTCGCATATCTTAGCCTTAGACCTCATAATGAATAAGGTTGATGCACTACTTCGCACTCCGTTTTCGCAGCTGCCGCTGGAACAAAAATTAGAGGTACAACGTCTTGGGCCTTATCAACCAAAAAATTGTTCATTGGAACAATCCCATGACGGAGGAAAGCGTCGGCGTA